CAAATAGCAATAGCAATAGCAATAGCAGTTAGACTTATATAGTGCTTCATAGGGCTTTCAGCCCTCTCTGGTTTACAGAGTCAGCATATTGCCCCCACAGTCTGGGTCCTCATTTCACCCACCTCGGAAGGATGGAAGGCTGAGTCAACCTTGAGCCGGTGAGATTTGAACCGCTGAATTGCAGATAGAAGTCAGCTGAAGTGACCTGCAGTACTGCACTCTAACCACTGCACCATCTTGTCAGAATACAAAATGACAAGAGTTGGAAGGGACCTTAGAGGTCTTCTAGTCCAACATGCAACTTCAGTTCCATGGGTGGATTGTTCTCCCTGTCAGGAAATTCTTCTTATTTCTAGGTTGAATCGCTCCTTGTTCAGTTTCCATCCATCCGCTTCGTGTCCTTCTTTCAGCTACTTTGGAGAATATGTGAGCTCCACTTTGAACATCTCTATCTCCTCTAAGGTCCTCCAGGATTAAAAGAGCAGGCTTCCAAGTAAAGACATCTTCTTTGTTGAATATGGAGAGCCCTCCATGTATGGTGACCAAGACCCAGGAGGAATCTGGCCACACATTTTCCAAAAAGGGAATGAATACAGAATAGAATACAGAATAACAGAGTTATTACCCCCTGCACAAGCAGGAGACCCTACACCATTTCTGACAAATGGCAGTCCAATTTCTTCTTGAAAGCCTCCAGGGATGAAGCTCCCACAACTTCTGCTCCATGGGTTGATGGCTCCCACTGTCAGAAAATTCCTCCTTAGTTCTAGGTTGAATCTCTCCTTGTTCAGTTTCCATCCATTATTCCATCTCTGGCCTTCAGGTAATATTCACTTCCACATAAGTTCAACCTGACTTAAATTCCACACATTCAAACGATGGGAAATCTTCACATCATTGCAAAATACCGAAGTCTTTTTCACTTCCAAACCACGTTTAGCTTCCCAACCCAGGCTAAAGCTAGCCAGATATTGCCACCTCCTGTGGTCACACAAGACTCTTATTCTAAAACAAAATTGCAAGGATTCCCTGACAATACAATTGCAGTCTGACAGGAAACCCTCAACTCCAAAAAAGGGCAAGAAAGCCCACCAACCTCCTTTCGTTTTGAGTTACGGAACCGTTCTCCAAATTTTTAACCATCGATGCTAAAACCTTGTTGGCGTCGTTTGCAAAATCCAGGTCCCTGACCTCCGACAGAGGGACAGAGACGATGGCAAAGGCTTCCTTATCTTCCTTCGTCTGACAGGTTCCAATCTAGGGATTTGGGAGGCAAGAGGGGAGCAATGAATCCATGCCATAAATAAATAATAAATAAACAAAACAAATTTATAGCTATCTATCAATCATCTATCTACANAGATGTGCCAACATGGCTCTCTTCATCAATTGGAACTTTGAGCAATCCTTTGCCTCGGACTCTGATTTACTTTTGGATGCTATTTGGAACCCTGAGACTCTCTTTGGAAGAACCTGAGATCAAGAGACAGACAGGTAGAAAGACAGAAATGCAACCCAAACACACATTCTATTTCTCTTTCCTAACTGTACCTGGGAACCAGGCAATCAGCCCGTTGCAAGGTGGTGGCGTCCAGCTCAAAAAGAGAAGCGATGTCGTTCCCGTGAGGAACCGAGACCAGGGTGTACATAATCTTCTCCCCTGCCTGCCGTTTCTTCTTCAGAGTGAGAAGCTCGTTGTCTTTCTGCTGAGACAGAAACAGAGGTAACTTGGTTTGTTTTCAAAGCGGGCTGACTCTAGAGATTCTCAGTCATCTGCCGTAGACCGTGGTCGTCCCCCTTTTCAGGAGGAAACTGGATTGACTTGGTTCTTCTTTCGCTTCTCATCCAAAAAGCTTCTTCAGCTCCGACTATCTATCATTCCCCACTATCCTGTCAGGGCTGAAGAAGCTTCTTGGATGAGAAGCGAAATGAGAATTGAGGTCTGCCACGCTTGAAGAGGCCAAGGATGGAGATCACTGAAATGGACTACTTTCCTTCCCCAATCTTTAAGCGGGATGCTCGGATGCAAAAAGGGACACAGTGGCTCAGACGCTGAGCTTGTCGATCACTTAAGACCGCATCCCCATGATCACGTGATCAAAATTCATACGCTAGGCAGCGGACTCACAATTATGACTGGTCGCAGTGGCCCAGGGCTCACGTGATCCCCGTTTGCGGCCTTCCGAGGAGCCAAATCGATGGGGAATCCAGATTCAATTCACCACCAAATCAAAAATGTTGAACACAAGAAGCAGTGCCTTTCGTTTTCAACGCTTAAATATCAGCGCTTTTGTAAGGAGATTTCACAGGGACAGAAATGTTTCACCCTGCTTTATTTAACGGCGTTGGACTCACCAGAATCTTTTCCCCATTGCAGCCATCTGGATAAAGAGGATTAAGCTGCAAAAGAATACTTCGATTAGCATTGTTAGAAGTGGTTCTCAACAGGTGGTGTTAAAATGAGTTTGTGGTTACAGGTTCAAGAGGTAGAGAAATGTGCCAACTACAAGCCAATTTGTTCTTTATTAGTAATGAGGAAGAGGAGGACTGTGGGGTCCTTAGTGCTCTCTGAGCTTGGTGGTTTTCTTGTAGACATTTCGTTACCCAACTAGACACTGATAAGGGAGGAAGGANCCATCTGCCGGAGAAGGTTGCAGTCATTTATGTAGACAAAGTCCGATTTAACCAACTTCCTCTTTACCTTCAACATTACCGGCCTTTCTTCATCCTTGTCGATTGGGATGCTAGTGCTGGTCACCCAAGTGTTGGTGCAAAGATGCCTCAGCCGTACGTAGGAATTCCTAAATACAAACCAGAGAAATCAGGAGATGAACTTTAAACCACTGGAGCAGATCATAGATTTTCTCCTCAACTCCCAAGGAATTGACAGAGACTGCTGGAAACTCAATTAAATTGTCTTCGGAGAGGAATAGCAAGGGACTGAAATGTAAAATTATACCCACACAAACGTGTCCATTGATATCAAAGAATAATTGATTTTTTTTTCTGATTCAATGAATTAACAAAATCACAACCTAGACAAGAATTAAATCTTCTCCTCCATAAAAGAAAGATGTACAGGATGACAGCTCAGCACCATAAAGGGTCTCCAAAAGCTATGAGTGAATTACATTTTTTATGTTGTCTTCAAGTTATGCTCAATTCCTGGTGATTGTACAGAAACCCACAGGCAGGTGTATGGGTCCACATAAAGTGGTTTTCTTTTTCTTTCTTTCTTTCTTTCTCTTTCTTTCTCTTTCTTTCTTTCTCTCTCCCTTCTTTCCTTTTTCCTTTCTTTCATTTCCTTTCTTTCTTTCTCTCCCTTCTTCCCACCCTCCCTTCCTTCCCCTCCTTCCCTCCCTTCCTTCCTCCCTTTCTTTTTCCTTTCTTTCTCTTTCTCTCTCCTCCCTCCCTTCCCCACCTTTCCTTCCTTCCTTTTTTCTTTCTTTCTTTTGCTCTCTCTTTCTTTCTCTCTCCTCCCTCCCTTTCTTTTTCTCCTCCCTCCCTCCCTCCCCTTCCCTCCTTTCCTCCCTCCCTCCCTTCTTCCTTCTTCTTTCCTCACTCCCTTTCTTTTTCTCCTCCCGCCCTTTCTCCCCTTCCCTCCTTTCCTCCCTCCCTTCTTCCTTCCTTCCTTCTTTCCTCACTCCCTTTCTTTTTCTCCTTCCTCCCTCCCTTTCCCTCCTTTCTTACCTTCCTCCCTTTCTCCTTCCTTCCACATAAATGCTCTCCTTCTCATAATAGTCTAGGGGGTCAGGGTTTCCTTCAATTCCAGCCCAAATACTTTGAAGATCTGACGCTGCTTAGCTCTCCCAGAGACGGCTAAAATAATCATCTTCTACTTGAGGTCAGTTCCTGGTGACCTCATGGACACATCCCTAAAGTTTTTCTTGATCATTATACAGAAGTGGTTCGACTGCCTTCTTCTGGAATGGCTTTTTGACTTTCTGTTCCAGCCTACCATTTGGGGTCTACCGGGGGTCTACCATGCAGGAAACGGTGACCCCAGGAACTAGACCCATCACTAACTAGACCCACCACTAACTAGACCCACCAAGGGGAAAATGTGTAGGCATCTTGTAGACAAGTTGCATCTCTCCAACCTACAATACTAGAGATGCATCTAGGAATAACCCAAAGGCTTTCCCTTCAACCCAACTTGACTTCTTGACTTTTCGATGCAATCTCCGTGTCAGGCCTGCAGCCATCTTTTTTTGGGGCGGGAGGGGCCTTTGGCCTGTCACACTTTCTATGCCAAGGTGGCGCAGTGGTTAAATGCAGCACTGCAGGCCACTGCTAGATCAGCAGTTCAGTGGTTCAAATCTCACCGGCTCAGGGTTGACTCAGCCTTCCATCCTTCCGAGGTGGGTAAAATGAGGACCCAGATNAAAAAAAGGAAAGAATTGTGGTTTATCTTACTTTATAAAGACCTTTTGCAGAAGTGAGAATAGATTTATAATTTTACCTATGTTTTTTGTCCCTTAGCCAGCTAAAGTTAAATCACAATATCTCATTTAAACATTTGGAATCAGTTAGTTAGCTTGTTTTAATACAGTTTCATCCTTAAAAGGATCAGAGTTGTTGATGGACATAATAACATGGCATTGCAACTCATAACAATCAAAACAAGGACACTACAATAAAACCAATTAAAAGGAAGGTCAAAGATGGCAAGAATGACAGACCAGATGGAAATGAAGGAATCGGTCTCGTTCTTCCTCAGTTTCTTTGAACAAGGCAAAATAAAATGAGGAAACCAACAATTAAAGGAACACTTTTGGGACATGCTTAAAACAAACAGTTACTCAAGAATGAAATCAAAACCAAACTGTCTTCTTCATCCTGGTGCCATCTGACTGATTGAAGATGAATAGCATAAGTCTGTGGGGGTGAACCTATGGCACGCGTGCCAGAGGTGGCACTTAGAGCCCTCTGTGTTTTGTCACGCACGCTATCATCCCAGCCCAGCTTTATTGTGTTTCTCTGTTGCGTTTCTTGCCGTCATTTGCAGGGAAACAAAAGTTTGTGGGACAAAACAAAAAAAAGTTCAATCAATTCCAACTTCTCACGAAAGAAAAAGATCTCGTGAAGTTGGAATTGAAATTTAGCATGCTTCACAATGGAGAGATGGGGTCCCTCCCTCCTGGAGCCCATTACAGCGCAGAGCCACAAAGCGACTTGGTGTTGGCTTGCTCGCCTCTCAGTTGCTTTTCTTGCAGAGCTGCTGGTGTTATGATGCGCTGCCGGGCAGCTGGTCTTCGGCGCGCTGCTCCTGGGCTCGTTGGCCTACGGACTTCAGATTCCCACCACCCGGCACCAGTTCAGGGATTCTCCCCCCCCTCCCCGGCGGGGGGAAGAGAGAAGGGAGGGAAAGAGAGAGGGAAGGGAAAAGAGAGAGAGGAGAAAAAGAGAGAGGGAAGAGGGGAGGGAAAGAGAAAGAGGGAGGGAAGGAGTGGCAAAGAGAAAGAGAAAAAAGAGAGGGAGGGAAAGTGAGAGAAAGATCAGGAGGGAAAGAGAGGGAAGGGAAAAGAGAGAGGAGAAAAAGAGAGGGAAGGGAAGAGGGGAGGGAAAGAAAGAGGGAGGGAAAGAGGGAAGGAGTGGCAGAGAGAAAGAGAAAAAAGAGAGGGAGGGAAAGTGAGAAAGAGATCAGGAGGGAAAGAGAAAGAAGGGAAAGAGATATTGGGGAGGGGGAAGAGAAAGAAATCAGGAGGGGGAGGGAGGGAAAGGAGAGAAACNAAATATACCAATCCCTGAAGAAACTTCTGACTTGAGCTTTCAAGTAACTTGAAGGCTGTGGGGACACAAACACAAAAAAAGATAATGTACTCTGTGGAGTATGAAACACTATACAGCACACTGGTTGACAGTACTTTTAAAGCCCTACATGGTACTTTGGACCTGGCTACCTGAGAGACCGCCTCCTGCCATTCACCTCCCAACAACAAATAAGATCGCACAGGTTGGGCCTCCTCCGGGTGCCGTTGACCGGACAATGCCGGCTGGCGACCCCCCGGGGAAGGGCCTTCTCTGTAGCTGCACCGGCCTTGTGGAACGAGCTACCCGCAGAGATCTGGACCCTTACTACTCTCCCGGCCTTCCATAAAGCGACCAAGACCTGGCTGTTCCGGCAGGCCTGGGGCTGTTGATTAATATCCAGCCCCACTTGATTGAATGGAGGATATATTAATTTTAATAATTGTATTTTTAAAATTTTTATATGTTTTTATTTTTGTTGTGAGCCGCCCAGAGTCCCAAGGGAGTGGGCGGCATACAAATCTTATTAAAGTTAAAGTATCATTTTAGATGAATGTATCCAAATGGAGAAAGACAAAGCAAAAAAAAAAGGTTGGGGCCTGCTTTTTACTTTCCCTCTTATAACTGAGACACTTTAGTTCCTGGATTACAAAATTAGAATGACAACTAACAGATGAGCAGGAAAAACGAGAATGGAGGAGGGGATTGTTAGCACAACTTACAGAAAGAGGAATTAGACCAGAATTGCTTCAGAAAATATTTGAGGATTTACGCAAAAAGTTGTTTGCATCATTTAGTACTAAATGAACAGCTTTGGAAGAGAGAAGTGACCAGACATGTAAAACTAATGATAAAGAATTTTTGAAAAGTAAGATAAAAGTTATTTATGGAGAGATGAAAAGATGAACATGATACAGAGGCCAAAAAAATGATACAAGTTCATAGAATTAGAAAGTGATGTCCTGGTGCATTTTGTTAAGAAGACAAATTCTGTACAAGCATTGTAATGCAAGATTGAAGAATAATATAGATGCATTTGTTCTTAAAGGAATTCAATTAAAATGATGTTTGTCCATCGTGTTTGAAGAGGACCTTGACATCTAATGGGTTGTGGGCTGTCCACAGTGTGTCTGTAGGCGGCTGGTAAGGCCTGTATGGGCACGGAATGTTCTGCCACTTGTTGGGCAAACATGTGTGGGCACCATTGTTGCAGCATTTGCAACTCTTGCTTTGTAGAGTGCTCGTTTCTCATGCTGTGGTTCTTCCGTCTTCAAATATCTGACATTTAATTAAATGTCAATTAAAATACTGCATCGAAGAAAACTGCTTCTTTCTGACTGATAGACGTAAACAGAAAAATAAACTATATTTTTGGGAGTATAAGATGCATTAGAGTATAAGATGCACCAAGATTTTGAAGAGGCAAATTAAAAAAAACATTTTTTGCACTCTGCAGACCTCTCAAAAATGGCCTGTTTTTCACAAAAACAGGCACATTTTTGTCAAAAAAAAGGGCATGCATAGCCTTTAGGAGGCTTATAGAATGCTCCTGGGGGCTGGGGGGGCATAAATGAGCAAAAAACNGGAGGGAAAGAGAAATGATATTAGAAAAAATTGTCTTTTTCATTGTTGCTAAATGTAATATTTCAAAAGCAGAAAAAAATGAAGGGACATAAAAATGCATTTTTCTTAAAACAATTAGCTGAATTCCGCCTTTATCATTATTTTAGGTAGTAAAGCCTCAGTATTCAGGTTAAATTGCCATGTTGGCACTTTGCAATAAAAAAGTGGGTTTGGAGTTGCAGTTTGGGCACGGTCTCTAAAAGGTTCGCCATCACTGGTATAAGTTATAGATGTCTAGAAAGAGTTTGGCTGGAGAAGAAAACTCCCAAGTATCACATCAGCTGATCTACTAAGGTAAATTAATTAACTTCTTGCTGTGCATGAAGAGGGACATCTGAAGGCTCAAACCTCCCTTCTCATAAACTATCTGAATCTCAACAATTGTCCCTGTCTCTGCTTTGGGGTGATAACTTGGTAGCGCCCAATGTTGTTGTCTATTTTCTAGACATTCACCTAGCACCCTCCCACATACCCTCATAAACTGTGATGCCATTCTTGGCACTTAAAAATGTCAAAAAAAGAAAAATGGGTAGGGGAGAAGAATTTTTATAATTCCATTGCCCAATCTTTAGAGGTTTGCCCCTGTGAAATAGGCCAATCTAAGATGAGATAAATTTTGTGTGTTTATTTAAAAAATGTGAGGCTGGAGATGCTTAAAAAAATTACGACATCTGAAAAGGATATGGGGAAAATATATCTCCTATATGCAACCTAACATATAATTCAGAAATGACATTAATCACAATTTTCAAACAAAATAGGAAAAGTGGGCAATAAGGCTTTAGTAGAACACAGAAGCAGAGTTAAACCTGTAAAAAAGTAAACTAAAAGCACAGTGTAGTGTCTGTCTAAATGTTTTTACTTTTACTTTATTTTACTGAAATAGCAAATTTTTGAAGCCAAAATTCCTTTTACTTTTATGCTTTATTGTAATGTCATTGATTGTTGTGAACTGCTCAGAGCTGTTAAGAATTAGGCAGCCTACACATTAATAAATTATTATCATTATCACTTCCAGCTTTCGGAGAAAATTCCTCTTTAATTGGAGGCTTCTGAAAGATGGTAAAGCCACAGATTTCTGTCTTCATAAACATGGTTATGCCCTTTAAAAAAAAAAACTTGCCTATCTCAGTGGATTGAGATGTTAGGGTAATATGACCAAACAAGTTTCATTTCAGGTAATGTGAAATGAAAATCTATCTAGTAAGCCGACTGCATTCAACACAGGTGTATTGGACCAAGCATGGTAATTGAGCCAATAATTCAGACACCAAGCTAGAAACTCCCACCTTAGCCAAGGAAGTCAGCTGGATGACTTTGGACCAATTGCTCCCTCAGTCCAACCCACCTCACAGGATTGTTGTTTTATAGAAAATAGGAGGAAGGAATATTAGATGTTTGTCACTTTTAAGTTGTTTGTAAAAGTAATAAAGGCAGGATAGTCAATAAATAAAATAAATTCATCAGGTGACCTTGTCTACAGTGTTGCTAAGTGAGACATTATGAGAATTTTAAGTGCTTGATATGGCTCTTATTTTGAACAGTTGTAAAGATGGAGAATTTAGACGGTACCAAGGTCCCCGAACTAAAAGTGACTTCATCAATTTTATCAGTGAGCAAGAATGGAAGTCTGTTGAGCCTGTTTCTTCATGGCTTGGACCATCTTCATTTTTGTAAGTATCAGCAGAAATGTTTCTGCTCCCTAACAGGCTTGGGAAATAAATGCCAAAGCTTGAATTCTGACTTTAGATGAATCCAGTTAATTTACAGATCATCACTGTAGTCATCAGCACTGATTTAGGCAAGTTACCTGGGAAATTTTAATCCTGTTTGTCTGTCTCTATTTCTCTCTGTGTGTCTGTTTATCCTATCAAGTTTAATCATTTATGAAGCCGAGATCAAGTTAAGACCTAAACTAATGATTTCTGAAAACAGTTAACCATCTCAATTGAGTCTAGTTATTTCATATTTTCATTATTTTCCTATAAGAAGCTTAGGGTAACAAAATAGATCATAGATAGTTGTTCCATTTAATCCGGCACTGGTCCACTACCACCTCATGTACTGGGCCCAGTTGTGAGCACCTCAGTTTGGAAAAAAAATAGAATATGTTCAGAGAAAGAAAGTCAATGAATATGATCAGGGGGACTAGAAATCCTTTGAAGAGGAGTTTGGGTGTGTTTAGGTTTGAAAAGAAAAGAACATTTGAATGCTTTGCTAAGGTTAGAGTTCACTATGTCATATCCCCAGTGCATTAAGTAAGTAATTCTGTCAATAAAAGACATGAATTTAACTTGGTTTGTATCCAAGCCATACTGTCTCTTATTAGTTATTACATATCTATCCACAGCTCACAAATATACTGTTTAATAGTTGGAGAATCCTATCCAGTAAAACATCAAATTGACACATCTTTAATTTCCTCAGTTCGTCTTCCCCTCCTTGTTTGAAGATAGGGCCATTTTCTCTCCTGCAGCCTTTTGGGGTGGGGACCTCACATTTTTCTCCAGGAACTCTGTAAATATCTTTGCCATACTTTGAATGCCAAAAACATAATTTCTCTGGCCTTGGAGATTTTGAGTTCATTTAAATGTTTCTCCTTGTATATCTGAGTTGCTTCTCCTTCATTTCACTAGTAGCACGATCATGGCCAGCAAGGACTTTGTTTCCCTTTGGAGGGGGGAAACTAAAATCTTAATTAAGATAGTTTACCTGTTGCCTAATTCATCCCTTTCTCTTCACAACAGTTAGAATCTATTTCTTCTAACATACCCCTAGCCCCCTTAATGTTGTTATTTTGGGAAACTTGTGTAAGCTTCAAGCTGATCATGTGATTACCATATTTTCCCCTTTGATTATAGGCTTCTTCATACTTCTCCTATGCAGGCCCTTTTTTTCTTTTGAGCATCCCATGAAAACTGATTGCTTCTACATTGACTTCTTTAGATGTCTCCCACTTTTTCTTCTAATAGGAATCATTTACAATTGGGTTTCATTTATAGTTGAACATGGGAATTGATTCCGTTGCAGTCAGATGAAAATTGCATGAGCAACCTTAATAAAAGTTGAATGCTAAATCTCAAATGGGCTGCTTAGATCACTGAACTCCATTGAAAGCTCTTTAATTGTAGATTTTATTTTTTGCCTCTTATCCCTTATTTTTTTCCTTATGTGTTTCTTTGCAGGATGAGCAGCATGTCTGCCTTATTTCAGCTTTCCATGTGGATTAGGGTACGTGCCACATCTTCCTCTAAATCAGAAGGGAGATTAAGTTTGTTTAATCTGGCTGCCCAACTCACTCATGGTGATTCCAGGCAGCTTACAGAGTTGCTGTCCAGCTAATACTCAAATGTGTGTTTTTTTCTCCCTTTCAGCAATGTCACACATATTTCACAGAAAACCTTGGTATACCAAACTGGGGGTCCTATGCAATTTTTGCATTTGTAACTTTGTTTTCGGGGTTGCTGCTAGGCCTTGTAAGTAAACATGTCTCTTTGCACTCAGAATTAAAAGGAGAAGGTAAAGCTTGAATGCAGTGCTGAAGAATGTTGGTTTTCTTTTCAGATCATGGTATTTCTGGCCGATTGTGTGTGTCCCTCTAAAAAGCAAAGGCCATACCAGCACCCTCATCAGAGTAAGTATATTGCTGCATGCCAAGTGCATTTCTTCTCGAACTGAGACAAGAAAAGGGAGCTTTAAGCATTGAGCCAGTCTTGGAATTATCACCTTCGTGTGGTTTTATCTTTTGCTGCCTTATGATGTTACCCAGAGCTTTTCCAAAATTATAAAAATCTGACTAATTAAACTACCTGTTAATTAAATAATGGCATTTAACTGTATTTCTCTTAGGTCTGCCCACTTTCAGTAGTACCTTTCAGTGGTCAATTGTACCTCTCTGCTCCATCCTAGATCAGGGAGAACAGAGCAAGAGCAGAGTGAGGGAGGCTCTCTTGTTTGCTTAAAAGGAGATAGAAGTGCTATTATGTCTAGTTGGGTGTCTTAAATAGCAGTGTAAGGATTCAGCAAGAGCCGCAGAAGGTTTCTGATTTTTGTCTGAAGATGTGTTAATGAACGCGGATAAGGAGTGAGTAGTTTCACCTAAGTTTCATAAAAATTAACACTTAATTTTCTGGTTCTAGCAATGTTATGCAATTTTAAACAGTGATTCTCTGAGGCCTAAAGCTCATATTCCTCACAAAATAGAATACAAAGTCAGAAGAAGTAAGGGAATTTCCTTGGGCGGGACCCAATTGGAGAGCAACATTTTAGCAAGTGTCAGTCTTACAGTAAATTTCACCTCCAGGAAATCATGAGGGGGCTTTAGCAACCAGTTCTTTTCTGCCTCTTTTATGTAGGATTTACATTTGTTACCTAGCCTTGTAAAATTCATGTCAGAATCTTACCCATGCAGTAGTTTGAATCCTGACTTGCTGCTCTGTTCACAGACAAAACCGAGGGGGAAGTAATTTGTTTATTTCTTAGACTCGTATCCTACTTTTCCTCCATGAATTCAGTACTTGGGAATCTTAATTTCATGTATGAAGCAAATTATAGGAATTCAGTGGTGCAAAAGAGATTGTCCCAAAGTCGCCCAATCCATAGTTCAGGATAGATTTGAAGCCTAATTATGCTCCAGCCACTTGACTATTATAGCAACTGTTTCTCTAAAGCCAAGAGCATGTATTAGAGGGGAAACAAAGCCATTTTTATTTTCTCCTTTATAACTTCAGGACCTCTATTGTAAGGGTCATCCAACTCTCCGGTTCTAGAGTAATTATACAAAATTGCAGAGAGAAATGAATGAAAATTGATTGTCTTCAATCCATTTTTATCAGTGAAAATGTCCTACGAGTAGATTTCCACTGGCATATGAATTTAAAACCAAATCAATGTTTATGCTCTGCTTTAAAAACACTTATGGTACTCTGCAAATTTCTTTTTGCTGCATGACTTCTGCAGAGCTGGAATGTAATAATACTTGCATTAATGAAGCTAAAATCCCACACAGATTTTGTTTTTAAAATAATTGCTTCTAAACCCGGGCTCCTGATTAAGTTGGTTTGTTACCTTCCACAGTCCTAACATAAGATTTGCTAGTTGATAATTGCAATCCAACGTTTTTGTTAAAAGGGGGCAGCATGATTTCTGGGAACTCAGGAGATACTATTAAAGCTATTTGAACAGAATGGATAGTAGTAGTCACTTTCATACCACATGTGCAGATTGTTCACCCTGCTTCTTTACCATCTAAGGAGATAAATGGCAATGCTGAATTTTCTTCTCTTTTTAGGAAAGCTACTAGAATCTGCTCAACATTCGAAAAAAAAAAGTGAAGGACTTGAGGGAGTCAATCTTGATGGTGGAAGGGACCGTGGAGATCCATGTTACCCTGTTCCTCCACCAAATCCTGTGAGGCAACGCGTCGCAAAGCCAGAGTCTGAAGCAGAGCAGTCATAGCTCTTGCCAGCAGGTTCATCTTCTGGAGATCCTGGAGGGATGCCTAATGATCAAATATGCAGGTGGGCAGGAGAGGTGGGGAAGTCCTCCTCTTCTACCTCCCAAGAGAACCAAGACTCAGAATCGTTTTGAGATGGTGAAAAATTGTTTCTGAATCTTTCAGTGGGACAAATTTAAAGCGTGGCGATGGAAATGCTTTTCCCTTTCTCCCTGGAACAGGTCCGGGAGGTGCAAAGGATTAATTTGCCTATGGCACAGTGAATTCCAGAATTTGGATGAGTTGCCAATCTGCAATGACAGGACAAACATTGGGCCCAAAACCAGATGATCCCGTCTGGGAAGCCTTTCTCTCCATCCAGAAATAAACCAGGAGGAAAAAAAATGCTTTCTTCTATTACTTGTTTGGATCCTAACTCAAGAGGGTACTTCTACAGTTGGCTTGCTTTTTACAAATACAAAATTACAAAAATCCTTTTTGCGTTCAGACTAATAATAATAATAATAAACCTTCTGGCTAATTTTGAATACCCAGCAAGAGTTGAAGCCCAGAGTTTTGAACAGCAGTTAATTTTCTCAAAAAAAGTTGGATCCCATAGCAAAGAGGGTTGTTTTTTTTTGTTTCTGTTTTAAATTGCTTGTTATGTGAGGTTGTTACACGAGAGGCTATTGTTTAAAAGCGAATGAACCCAAGTATCCCTTTTGCCTAGCCTGAACTCCACCCTGTTCCCCAATGTTACTTGATTAGGGTACATCAAACTTCATATGCCACTATTTGGCAGGAAAAAGAAGTAATCATGTAAAGCTTGTTTAGTTATCTTATTCCTAATAGCTTAAAGACTAGACTTAGAAGTTTATTTGATAATCCTGAAGTGGAGGATGCCACTGTTAGCATAATTGTCAGTTTCTTTCCCTGGGGGGAACTTTTGCTTAGATTTTCAATAAAATCTCATTTTTATCAATATTTCAAGGCATGTGGATACTTGTAGCAACTTCCATCAGCATATCACAAAGCCAAGAAATCCTGCCCACAATCGTTTTTCATCTGTTTCCTTTCCTTTTAGTTCTGTTTCCTAAGACACAACATTCTCACAGAAAGTTTTCTGACATTACATTCTTTTTGTACCACAAAAAGTCACTTTGCCAATCTCAAGGAGGAAGACTCAATAGCCACTTGACATAGCTGGCTAGTCTGCCTTAACCACCGATTATGTTGACAAACTACACGTTATCTGATAAGTTTGAAAAGCTTTAATAAAATACGTTTAAGTTTGAAAAGCTTTAGAAAAACAGGATATTTCCTTGGAAAGGCTGGGTAGTATATGGCCTTAGCTGATAAGTAGAATACAGTTCAATTGGCTTGTGAAGCAGGCTTAGAGCAATTTAGTTTTGTATAAAGTATCTTTTTTTCCCCTTCTTAAAGCTTTCTTTATATTCTCATGAAAACTACGAATTACTTGCCATTCTTTTCTGAACGCTGCCCAAGTTTTGATGTAGGTAACGGGGAGACTCACAGACCATAGCATTGCTTGTTTTTCCATTAGCATTTTCTGTAGGAGCAAAAAAAATAAATTACACATTTTCTTCCAAAGATGTTAAAAGTCAGATGCTGGCCCAGTAAGCAGCCATCTCCTCCTCTGCTTGCTTGTGGTTTCCCTGTTTCCTTAAAAGGTCTTCCAGCCATTGGGAATCCGGTTGTTTGGCTCTATATAGGTGTGCTTGCCTCTGCCACAGAAAATTGACTCGGTTAATATTTCTTCTCTTCCACCCCCTGGTATGGTATGAGTATGAGCATGTGGTTAAGAATGTTTGTATTGAAGAGCCATGGTGGCGCAGTGGTTACAATGCAGTATTTCAGGCTGATTCTGCCGACCGCAGGCAGTTCGATCCTGACCCTCTCAAGGTTGACTCAGCCTTCCATCCTTCCGAGGTGGGTAAAATGAGGACCAAGATTGATGGGGGCAATAGGCTGACTCTGTAAACTGCTTAGAGAGGGCTGTAAAAGCACTTTGAAGCGGTATATAAGTCTTACGTGCTATTGCTACTGCTATTCAGCTCTAAGGATATGCAGAAAAGTCATTCTGTTGGTTGATTTGTCTTATATTTAACCAGGACTGTGTTAACTGATTGAAACAAGCTTCTCAGGCACCTGTTCTTGTTTCAACAATGGCCACATGCTGACAAATGGGACTTCCATACTGAAGCCTTGGAATGAAGGCATATTTGCTTTGACGTGATCTGTATGGAGAATCAGTGGGTGTCCTTGAAAGTTCATTCCGTGCAGTCCAGTCTATGGGAAATTGCTGCTAACCTCTAGGGCTTTCTGCTAAGCAACTCGTCTGCTGCTATCTGCCCCGAAGAGCTTCTTTGAATCTGGAGCTGGTTTAGGTTTTCTTGAAATGGAGATACTTCTCCTCCCTGCAGGCAAACATCTGGATTTTATTGTTGAGTTTCTCTGCAACCATCTCTCTCTGGTCAGCACAACCTTCACTGAAAGAAACCTTCAGGCAGAATAAGTTGTCACACAATGGGGAGGATAAAGTTCTAAGCTTACCTGTTCCTTGTTGTGCTCTCCTTTTGCAAAAAGGGTTTTTTTTTTAAACAGAGCAGGCAATACACAAGCAATCTAAAGTCAAAAAGTCTTTTCTTACAGCTTGTTCAACATTTGTGGGCTGGCAGTTAAATAACCTTTAAAACAAATTCAGATACGCAGGAGAGAAAGGGTGAGACGGGTCACGCTTGAGGACTATGCTGTGCTGAAGGAATTATTCTTCAACCTGTTTAGTCTTTGAATAAGCCAGTTTAATTCTCCAAGGATGTAAAAGCATGTTCAGTATTCAGCTGTTAAGCTGATGTGTTTATTATAATTGGTAAGTGTTTTTTGTCCCCTTAAGGAAACATTTCCAAGTAATAAAGTTATCTCCATGTCTGGAATTTTATTTATTTTTAGCTTGAGTTGTTCTTTAAAGTCACTTTCGGTATCCTCAGTTGGATAGTTGAATGAAGTACCAAGTTTTCCTTTGACACAATTATCGGTGAAAAGGTTTGAAGCATCTCTTGAGGAATAATATGAATATTGAACTAATTCTGTAGTTCTCAAATAGTTGATTATTCTTAGGGTTTTTTTCATACAATTAAAAAAAAACATTTGTTTCAGCGCAGATGTCAAAAATAATGGAAAGGCATGCGATGCATGTAGATTATCTATTTGAAACACTTTACTTTCTAGCTGAAACCTCATGAGAAAATGTGGGAAACCAAGATCCAACTCTTTCTTTAGTTAGAAAATTTCTTGGTGCTTTTCCACGAACTCCCCCAACCCCAATTATATTTATTATGCAACACTTGAAAGCAGTTGCATTTTTTCTCCCCAAGATTATACTGCAGCTGCAGAAGAAAACCACACACTGCATATTTTCTAAATTATTTCCAAAGCGATATACGCCCAATTAATCATGTCAGTAATCATACAATTCCTCATTTGCAGTTTATGTTCTGGCTCAATTTCTGTCTTATTTGTATTATACAGTATTATGCAATGCACTAACTTGGCCCCCTCTATTTCAAACTTTCCTCTTTATTTTTTATTCCTGTTTATGAAATGTTACTGTTAATGAATTGCCATGTAAGTATGTATAAAACCACATACAGTATGCGTATATAGACACATACTGTATATACATTTATGTATTGTGATTAGTTTCTAATTGGTTCAAGAGTTGCTTCACAGACTAGATGCTATACACCACTTAGATTTAAACTAAGCTAATTTCCTGTATGAAGGAATTCATGGTAAACTGTTCTCAGATTTGGGCTGTTGGTTCACCTAGAAATTTAACTTCTTCACTATGAGTGGAACATTTTTAACTAAGTCTATTTGAGGAGAGTTAAAATTCTCTGTTAACATGTAAACATATACCTCCCCAATATTTTCCCCCCAAACCTCCAGAGTGAATCAGAATAGAGCTGGAAGGGACTTGAAAGTCTTCTAGTCCAGCTCCCTGCTCAAGCAGGAGATCCTATACCACTGTCCAGTCTCTTCTTAAAAACCTTCCATTGATGAAACACCCACAACATCTGAAGGCAAGCTTTTTCCACTGTTTAATTGTCCTCACTGTTAGGAAGTTTCTCCAATTCCAGGTTGCTTTTCTCCTGGATTATTCCATCCATTGTATCTTTTTCTACCCTCTGATGCTTTGGAAAATAAATTGACTCCCTCCTCTGTGGCAGCCTCTCAAATCCTGGAATACTGCTATCACGTCCCCTTCTTTTCTCTAGACTGGCGAAACCCAAATCTTGCAACTGTTCTTCATATGTTTTAGCCTCCAGGCCCTTATTTATCTTAGTTGCTCTTCTTTGCACTTTTGCACATCTTTTTTTTAATGTGATGAAACGATGTAGTACCGTGTTTCCCCAAAAATAAGACAGGGTCTTATTTTCTTTTGACCCCCGAAATAAGAACTTGACCTTATTTCTGGAGAGGTCTTATTATTTTTGAGGTGCAGGAGGTGGCGAGCATGGTCACCTCATGGCTGGTGCTGCGTTGCAATATTTTCAGGGAGGGCTTATTTTAGCGCATGCGCTCAAAAGCCCCATTGGGCTTATCATCCGGGGAAGTCTTATTTTGGGGAAAACGGGGTATTCCAGGGGTGGTCTTACTAAGGCTTTATAAAATGATACTAATACTTCATGTGATTTTGATTCTATGACTCTGTTTAATACAAAGGATTGTATTAACTTTTTTGGCTTCTGCCGCACACTCCTGGCTCATGTTTAAGTGATTGTCCACTAAGACTCCAAGGTCCCTCTCATAGTTTCTGTTTTTGAGCCAGGTTTCACCTAATCTGTACTTGTACATTTGATTTTTTTTTTCCTGCCCAGGTGTAAAACCTTGTTTTTCTCCACATTAAATTTCATTTTGTTGGATAGGGCTTGAGGGCTTAGCTATTTGTATAGGTTCTGCTTCAAATCATGACCTAGATTATTAATTGTGTGAACCCATCCCTTGTAGCTCAAGAATCATGATTTATCGAGCAGAACAGAATGCTTATTCTTTGTTTCCACCCTAAAGTGCTATTGTGAGGTGCATTAAGCACAAGGATAGAAGCCAAGAAATTCATATTAATAAAATCCCCTTGCCCGGTTTTCCTTGGCCGGCTTGCTGATTAAAAGATGGAATATGATGGTAATACAGCAGGTGGCAGCAAAGCTCCACAGCCAAACAGAATCTACTCTGAGGGAAGATCTGCAAAAACACTTGGAACAGAAATGCAAACAGATCATTGGCATGTAATACCCAAAAGGTGACACAGCAGCTTTCCTAATGATCCTTGGGACAGGCAGTATAAACCGCAGAAGTTTCCAGTAGGGCATCAGGAATGAAGATGAGGATGGGGAAAAAATATTTCTGGTTATGCAAAAGGAAATAAAGGTCAATCTGCACAATTGCTACCTAGGCAAAGAGATCAACACGAGAGACGGGAAATGAACCCATTCGAGATGTGTAGCCTGCAGACACCATATCACCCAGACTTGATGCCCTGCTAGGAGTTTCCGCATCTGCATCTACTCTGCTACTGGGAATAAAACACTGCACGAGCTGTATTTGTGTGTAATCCAGCAAACTGCTTATTTTCAAATCTGCCTTCCCCTCTTTTGTTTTGATGCCAATCAGTTCTGCATCCAGCGTGTCAAACTCCCGCTGAGGAATGAATATCCAGGGTTTCCTTGCTTATTTGTTCATTTAATTCAATTAATATGCCCACCCAACTCAGCATGATAGCTCTGGGAAGCTAACAATAGTTTTTTAAAAGACATCCATAACTGACAGCCAAGATAAAAGAAAAACAAAACTACAACGAATAGCTATCTCACAGGCTCTGATTGACAATCCAACTATAGCAGAAGTATTGAACTCAAGGCCCGAGGGCCGGATGTGGATCTGGCCTGCAGAGGCCCCCTGGAAATAGTGAAGGACTGGCCCATGGTGCCTCTGCCAGCGAAAATGGAGCTCGTGGGGGCCCCACGCGTCCCACCAAGCTCCGTTTTCGTTGGCAGAGGGTTGCAGGAGGCCGTCGCAGCCGAAAACGGAGCTGAGAGGCTTATTTTTGCTGGCAGAGCACTTGGGCTACCACAGACGCCCCCTGACACAAGTGACGTCATGCTGGCCACACAGACATACCGCCCCTCCGAGGTCTAACACAACCCTAATGCGGCCCTCAATGAAATGGAGTTTGACATGCCTGAACTATAGACATGTCTTTGTGAAAGGCCGACAAGAGTTGGGCCATTGGGGAGAAGATGTTCTACAGGATAGGCACAAGGACAAAAAGTCTCTCTTCATGGTCCTGCCAGGTGACATTTCTTAATTGACAAGCCATGCAACATGCCTCTGCCCAGTGTAATGGGACAGGTAGAAACAAGGAGAGGTGGTCCCATAAGTCCTATGGCATGATGGGATGTATCAATGAGCACCAGCACCTTGGATGTTTCTCCAGTATTTGTTCCCAGTTGATTCCTTTTTGCTATAGATCAAGCGTCCTAAAAAGATTTCATTTATTATAGTTCATAATTAGTAAGTCTTTTTAATACTATTAGGTAGAAGTAGTGTAGTG